TCTGGCGTCCAGTGCTTCCTCTTCTGCCTGGATCCTCAGGCCTGGGGTCCTGGGGGTAGCTCCTGCATAACCTCCTGCTCTGTGCCCCTGCTTGTCCCTGCATGTTCCCAGTGAGCCTCACTCAGGGGTCCTTCCTGGGCACCCAAAGAGGACATGCTCCCCTCCTCCAGCAGTGAGAATGCCAATGGTGAGATACAGGGAGTGTCAAGATGGACATGCAGGGCCGTGGAGGTACTCAGTGTCTGAGCCTTGATCCCCCACCCCTCAACATCCAAGCAATTTGTCTAGAGCCCACCCAGGGAACTGTGTGTCTAGCACCTGTTCTTGTCCCTCTCCAGGGCCAAGAGTCTTCCAGAAAACAAGAGAGGAAGAGATCTTTCCCAAACCTCTTCCAGGACAGTCACCGTGTCACTGCTCTTGGCAACTCTTGTCCCTCTACCCCCTGGCTGCACTATGGGGAGCCTCCCTTCCACCAGGATGACTCAACTTCAGCACAGGCTCATCATCCCTGCAGGTGTGGCGGGACAGAACTGGAAGAGAAGGCAGGAACCTGAGACTGTGGTCCCTGTCACAGCTGAGTAGGTGCAAGGACTTCCCCAGGCGCATAGCCCTCCCCAGCCTCGACCTGGCTTCCCATCTACCTGACCCACCCCGGGACTATTTCTCTTCTCCCCAACTTCCGGCCCCCAAGCCTCTCAAGCAGGCAAGACGGGGGAACTGCTCTCAAACCTTGTTACTTTATTTTGCAATGCAAATTAATCTTCTTTTTCTTCATCCTTTCTCATCTAAATAGAAGAGGCAAACCTATCAACGGAGCATCCTGAAAGCCTTGAAATGAGTTTTCTTCCTGGCCAGATCCTGCTCTTAGGCAGAAGCTGGCCCTCTTCCTGGCTGTGGGGGAGCCCTGCGCTCTTCCCCGCCCAGCACGACGTCTGGGGTCCCTATTTCCTGAGTACCTGTGTGGTGCATGGGGCAGGGTGACCCACACTCTTTTCTGGTGCCCTGAGCTGGGGCTGGATGTCCTGCGGGTCACTCTGCGGGTGAAACCTCAGCTCCTCCACGCCCAGCTCCGGCCCCTGCCCTGCACCAGCTCTGGAGCCTCAGCTGGAAACTGCTGTGACCACCAGGGGAGGAATTCCAAAGCACCAGTGCTCGCTCATCCTCCCTCGGGAAGGAAGGCAAGGTGACATTGGGTGGGGGGAGCTGGCAGGGCAAGGAGGACGAGAAGACACCAGTGTGAACCACGGCTTTAAAGAGACTTACAACAATTTTAATCAGCATTTCCCTTCCATTTAAAACCCCAAACTTAGCCACTTAATCAAATGTCATGCTTAAGACACATTTACCTCCTTGGGAGAAAAATGAGCAGTGGCAGCTCAATTTGGCTTTGGATGGGATTTAAAAATAGTCAAGTCTGTGAAGGCCATTAGGTAAATGGCCTCAGAGAGAGGCAAGGAGGACCTCCCGCAGGGCTGCCAGCCCCTCTGTTGAGGAGACTCGGCAACCTGCCCTGCAGCAGCCCGGGATCCAGTGCCGGTGTCTGGGGCACAGAGAACAGGCCAGAGCGGCACTCTGCACACAGACCCTCGGGGTGGCCCCCTCCTTGCATATTGGCTGCACACACGTGTTCATTTCTGCATGCACATGTGTGAACGCATGTCCATGTATGTGTGCCTGTGCACACCTGTATTCCTTTGTGCACGTGTGTGGGTGGATGCAAGCATGTCTACTTGCGTGCATGTATATGGGCCAGTGCATGTGAACATGTGTGCACGTGTGTCTATTGCACGTGTATGGATGTGTGGGGTGCATGTGAGTGTGTGAGTGACACATGCGCACTTTCAGAATTTCCAGAGGGAAAACAGTTCACTGGCCAGACGTGTGTGGCAGCCATGCTGAAATGCATGGTTGTGTAACAAATGAAAATGTTTTCCTCAAGAGACAGAAATAATAGGTGGTGCTTTCTTCGGAGAGAGATGAGCGAGATTTACCCCAGGGGAAAATTAAGCTGGTGTGGTAACTCCAGCCCAAGTGAGAGGGATGGTATCCCCCTCCCCGAAGATGGAATAGGCCTCACTGGCTTGAGGACTTGAGCTTTGACTGGATACTCCCGCCACTGCTTGTGGCCATCTTTGTTTTTAGAAAACCCTTCCATGCGTATTTTCCTGGCCCAGAGACCCTCTCAAGCACGGGTGTGGCGCTCCAGGGGTCTTTAAACTTAGATGGGGCTGAAGACGCCATCTTTATTTTTGCTAGCCCTGCTGAACTTAAGTGCCAGAAGCAGAGCAGGTAGTAGGACAGTGCCTGCCCCAGCTGAGCTTAGGACTACTGTGATTGCTGATGTCTCAAAATAAAATATTTACCTGCTGTGGCATCAAAATTATGGCATTTCAGGATCTATCAACTGCTTCTTCAGTGTATTATACAGATGAACGAGCATTGCTATAACGCAAACTTGTTTCTTTAACCTTGGAGGTGACCCTGGGGATTGAACCCTGGACATCAAGCATGCTAAGCACGTGCTCCACCTCTGAGCCGCACCCAGCGTTTCATGGATCTTAGATGCATCTCATCATAATGGGTTTCCTATAACTCTGTGCTTTAAAAAATGCTAGGTGCCTAAAGAGCAGCTAGCCAGTGGCAGCGGGGGTGTCCCTAGGATAGACAGGCCAGCCCAGCCCCCGAGGCCTCCCTGGCCCTGCTGGCTGAGGACTGGATCCTCCTCACCAGCCTCCTGTGAGCACCTCCACTTCTCCCCACCAGGTGGCAGCAGTGGGGGAACCGCCTCATCAGCCAGAGACCCCAGTCCAGCTTGCTCCTCCAAGACCTCCAGAGGATCGGCTCCCCAGTCTCTTCAGAAGGAGGGCTCCAGGGAGAAGGACTCAGGAGTGGCCCTGGGAGGCAAAGTGCTGGCTCTTCCCGTGTCTCTTCGGGGCACTGACCCCAGAATCCTCACAGTTACACTGCTAGGCGCGGGGCCCATGCACTCAGGGGTCAGAGCAACGTCTGTGTGGAGGGAAGGAGGAAACCCATCTGCAGAAGAGGAGACCCAGGCTTTGTAATTGGTGGCACCTGGTCCGCCTACGCAGGGGCTTGCCCCCATGCCTGCCTCCTGCCACTTCCCTGGGGCCTTGGCAGAGAAGCAGGTGCCCCTCCTCCGCGAGGTACAGGAAGCCTGCGCTTCCCACAAGCCGTGGCTGGAGGCCGGGCGAAGTGAAAGTCCTGACCCTGGGACAGGTCCCAAGCGGCGCCCTACCTGCCTCTGCCGCTCTCAACAGCAGCGCTCCCAGAGGCCTCCCTGCGGCCCGGGGCCATCTGCCCGCCCCAAAGCCCTGGAGGCCCCTCTCCGGGCCCCACCCAGCGTCCGCACCTACCCTGGCTGCGGGGTGACCCCCGGTGCTCCTGAGGTAGCACTGCCCAGCGGCGCCGGCTTGGAAGCGGGCTTTGTCCAGGCAGTGCCTGGAGCAGCCGCGGCCCTGGCCTTGCGTGGAAGGCCCTGCCTCTCACTTTATTCAGTGACACAGTCGCTGTCTTTTATTCAAGCTCTCGCAAGCACAGCTACCCAGGGGCACAGGCGGCGAGGCCGAGGTTCCCCGGGACTTTGGCGCTGGGGCCGGCTAGGCAGAAGCTGCGACGGGCCGGGACGCGCATCCCAGGGTGCCGCACAATCAGGCAGAAGCGCTGAGGCCCCATCCAGAAACGCAGCGTCTTCCTCCCCCGGCCGGGCAGGCAGAGCTGAAGGAGGCCGGGCTGGGGGCCCTCTCGGCTCCCTCCGCTCGTGCGCCCGCTTCTTCGCGCAGCTCCTGAGGGAGAAAACTTTTCGCGCAACCCCCGCTCCACGCGCCCCGCGAGTCCTCCCTCGGGGCGCCCTCTCCCCAGATCCGCTCTCCGGGTCCGCTGGGCGCACGAGTAACCGGGTCGGAACCTCTAACTGCTTCGCATGCCATCTGGTTACCGTGGCAACACCATCCGGCGGCGCCCGGCAGTCCAATCGGAGCCTGCGGCCTCTCCCGAGCCGTTCCCAAGGTAGGGACCAGGCGAGGCCGGGGATGGGGAAGGGGGCGGCCAGGGCCCCGCCTCTGGAGTCTGCCCGGCTGGGCGCAGCCCCCCGCAGCGAGCCGG